ACTCAAATACCTCCATGGAACTATTCAATACTCTAAATGTTATTTTTCAATAATTAAATAATTAGTTCCCCACTTTGACGTCAAGATACTACAATCTTATACCATTTCAATTATATGCACTGTTAAACAAACTCTTTGACAGTCCTATAAACATCACTTTACACAAATGGGTGGTATTATATTTTTTTATGCATTTCAATAATCGGAAATAAGTCAATTTTTAGTTAATTGAAAAGCAAGATTACATCAATATGTTATGTACCAATTTTGTAGCGAAAATACAACATGTTTTATATTTATAATATACAGATGTATAACTGGAGGAATGATTTTAGATAATTTAACAACATATGTTGTTGCTTGATCAAAAGTAACAATGGTTAAAATAATATCTAGTATTAGATATTATTGAATTAAATGTTTCATCACCCATTGTGCGAAGTCCTAATTATTTAGTTAAAAAACACCTACATAAATAAAAGTTTGCTGATTATGTCAATATCTAGGGGAAATTGGTTGTAATAGTCTAAGGATATAAAGTCCATTAGGAGTATCTGCCTGAATATGCATGAAGACTATTTTGACGGTTCTCTTTACGACCTCATATTACATTGTTCTTAGCATATTTCGATATTCTCTATACAACCTGAGGTAACATTGATCTAAGACTTATTGTAACTGTTCTCTTTACAACCTCGGGTACATTGATCTATATAATAGATAATACTAGTATATTGACTGTTTTCTTTACAACCCCAGGAAATTGATCTATATAATTGATAATACTATATTGACTGTTTTCTTTACACCCCCAGGAAACATTGATCTAAGACGATGTTGACTGTTCTGTTTACGACCTTATCTAACATTGATTTAAGACTATTTTGACTGTTCTCTTAGCGACATTATATAACACTGATCTAAGGCTATTTTGAATGTTCACTTTACGACCACAGGCAACATTGATTTAAGACTATTTTATCTTAAATTTCTTAAATAGCATTGATCAAAGGCCATTTTGACAGTTCTCTTTACGACGTCAGGTAACATTGATCTAAGACTTATTATAACTGTTCTCTTTACGAACTCAGGTAAAATTGATCTCCGACTATTTTGACTGTTCTCTGTATGACCTAAAGTATCGTTGATTAAAGACTGTTTTGATTGTTCTCTGTATGACTTTTTGGTTTAGGCTTCTCAAACTTTTGGTCTCAAGTATGCTCAAACAGATAAGTTTCTCTCGCACCTACTTCGGTGTCATTCGTTCGTATTACTGTTACACAGTATAATTATACAATCTACTTTATAATATACACGAACTAAATTCTTATACAAATATAAATAAGAAGATGTGGTATGAGTGCCAATGAACACTTCTTTAGTTCTATTCACTAAAAAAAGTCCCAGCTAAAGGGGAGAAAGGGTGTTTACAGCTTAATGGTGTAACAATTGGCCATAAGCGTACAGAATTAGATTTATTCCTTACTATTGAGGTCAAATGGGTAGCACTTGAGAATATTATTTTCCGACGTGTATGTCTACCTAAAAATATAAACGAAACAAACACATCAGTCAAAAACAACTCATGACGTGTTGTTTTGCCTAATATAGGAACCAGACCATTTTGCCTTACAACCCAAAAGTCAGTACCAAGTTATAGAGACTATGTATGACAAACTCTTATATAGTCTTAATATGATTCTGTTATGACTTCAAGGACCAAATCTTCAGATTTGAAATAAAATGCATTCAAAATAATCTAGATTTTTTTCAGAGATACTATCTTACTACTAGTTTTCTACAGACAGACACTTATTCATTAATACAGCAGTCAAACAGTTGAAACCAATCACGACGGCTTACTTGAAGTATCTCGTTTACCAATCCATGTTTATAATTTTGCAATATATAACTTTTTAGTATGCGGAGCACGTACAATATTCCACGTGATAAGTAATCAAACTGCTACACTTACATCCCTCGGATTTCAAATGTTTGGCATTGAGCGTTCCTGATGAAGGTAAATCCAGAAAAGCGCTTCGGACGCATGAAATTATTAAACGTGTTGTTTTCAATTTTTTACAGAAGAGTATTTCTTCCAATCCATGTTCCTTATTTTGTTTTACATGTATATAGCATTTCAAAATGCGGAGCAAGTAAAATATAACACAATATGAAACAAACCATCACTTGATTGATTTCTCCAAATACAGAATATATGCTGCAATTAGATATGAATACACAAGACTACTCAAGTCGATTCTATGTGCTTTCTAGATCATTCAGCAATATGTAACCTTCAAGCAACTGTTATAACAAAGAGCAATAACAAAATTCTTCGTATTTCATGAGAATGCCAACCTCACTAGTTGCAATATTGTATCGCAAAAGGTAGTGAAATAGAAGTGAGAAAGCGAATGGATTAAACTAGCCATTGTTATGCAATACACGAGGGACAGAAGTAAAGAAGGGTCCGAACAATATCAAAATTATACGACTACTAAAACGGATATTTTTACTTTATTTCGTGAAATTCAACTTCAAGATTCATAAGATGCCTGTATCTAACATAGATGGACGCTCTTACCATATTTGTAATAAACGGTTTACAACTTTCAACATGCAGTAGTTTACTTCATCGTTGCCATAACTATACAAAAAATATTTCAAGTCTTTTTTATTATTATGACGGTTCCCATACTGGTCAAATATTTCAAGTCTTTTAATGATTATGACGGTTCCCATACTGGTCAAATATTTCAAGTCTTTTTATTATTATGACGGTTCCCATACTGGTCAAATATTTCAAGTCTTTTTATTATTATGACGGTTCCCATACTGGTCAAATATTTCAAGTCTTTTTATTATTATGACGGTGCCCATACTGGTCAAATATTTCAAGTCTTTTTATTATTATGACGGTTCCCATACTGGTCAAATATTTCAAGTCTTTTTATTATAATAACGGTTCCCATACTGGTCAAATATTTCAAGTCTTTTTATTATTATGACGGTTCCCATACTGGTCAAATATTTCAAGTCTTTTTATTATTATGACGGTCCCCATACTGGTCAAATATTTCAAGTCTTTTAATGATTATGACGGTTCCCATACTGGTCAAATATTTCAAGTCTTTTTATTATTATGACGGTTCCCATACTGATCAAATATTTCATGTTACATTAATAAGGAACTGAAGGGATCTTAAAATTTCCTTTATGACAGAAACTTGATACAGTTCCCAAACAGCGTTTGTTTGAAAATCAAAACAACTGAACATTATCTAACCGTGTCTCAGATTCACTGCATTCAGTCAAAGATGATTAAGGGCTTCCGAGAAAAAAAAACCTCATATATATATATATTATCTTTTCGGCTCCGACAAATTATATGTCGATCAAAATAAACTTTTTTTAATCTGTGCAAAACTTTATAATGAGTAAAGATTTCATAATCACAATCTTATACCACTACTCACTCTTCCCTACTATAGAAATATGCCCCCATGTTATATATCACTGTCATTCTTATAAGCATATTTCTCTTCTCTCCAAGTTTCTAGATCATATAATGATTTTTATTTAGATTATTTGTACAATATCGTGTAGTTTTATTCGTCTTTATTAGGTATTTACCATATATATTCGTTTGCGTACCAGCATGGAAATATAGTTTTGTAATGTTTATTTTGACCTTGTGGAAATGGATGGATATAAGAGCAGTTGCTATTGTTTCTCAATCCAAATTTTGTATTATTCATTTGTATAAATCGTTCTTGGTATGATTATTTGTACATGACGAATTCATGAATAAAATATGTTGATATTAACCTACTGTGGATTTCACTTTCTCATCATATGTTTCAAGAGCAGTCTGTGTAATGATATCAAAAACTTCCTACCAATATCTGAAGTACGTCAATCGTGTGGACTTATTTTCAACGATGATATAATAACGATGCTGGTGATTCATAGGCGTCTTGTTCTGTTAGAGTCCCATTCTATACGAAATATTCCAGACATTAAGCTTACCGGAAGAAAAGATAAACATTAAACTTGTCTGGTTAAAATTTCGTTTCATTTTATTAAATTAAGATTCAATATTTAACGTAAATAATGTATAGTCTATCTAAAAATGTTTGTTCAAATAACTGATAATTTGTAACACGATGATTTATTCTACTATTTACTTTATCACAAAGATCCATGGAAACAATTTCCAATAAAAACAACATTTAAAATGACAGCTTTCTCTGAAATATTTTTATGGTAATGCACTCATCTGATGTTATCACAAAGCTTCGTTTTACTCGTAAAGAGTGCATTAAATGCATAAAATGGACAGTTTATATCAAAGGATTTCTCATATGATTCAATATGGACATTACATAATTTTCTAGCATTATTCTATATGATAAAATGGTTTAATTTTCCCTGATATTGCACGAGTGTCAAGTATATATAGGAAAACAGAAACGCGAGAATTATTATCAATTAAGCACATTATTAGTTTGCAATTAAAATTACTACCCACACTCCTGAGTGGTGTTCTTTTCCCGGAATCGTATAATTTTATAAATAAAGCCGACTGAGACATACAAGCAAAAGGTTAAAATAAATCATTGTTTGAATTAGGAAGTATTTACACATTGCTGGATTGAGATTTATATCAAACAATTAATAGGCTCAAAAATACCACGTGATTAAGTTACCTTTAACAAAGTAACACCCAACAGAAATAGAACAAATAAAAAATACCCAGGGGTACTGGATATATGGAGAAAAGATAAAAAAAAAACCAAATGTTCTTTTATTTCTAGTATATAACACAAATACTTTCAGGATCCGGTTTAAACGTATGGTTGATCATGAGTAAATGACCATCATATACGTCGATTTGTCACTGATTTGTCAGTCATGATTGATGTTATATATAATCATTGATTATACACATCCTAAAATCCGATTTATTCACTTTATTTAGCCGATCAAATTGAATACGGCCATTACATTTTTACACCAAAATCAAAAACCCTACTGATCAACCAAAATGAATATTAAAGTTGAGATGGTAAAATAGAAACAAAGACGTGGAAGATACCAAATGGAAGAATAAAAAAGAATCAAAACTCGTAAGTTACAATGGAAAACTCTAGAACTTAGTAGCTTTGTTGGTGGATATATGGAGAAAAGAAAAGAAAAACACAAATGGTTCTTTTATTTCTAGTATATAACACAAATACTTTCTGGATCCGGTTTAAACGTCTGATTAATACAAAATGACCATCAAGTTACAATGGACAACTCTAGAACATAGTAGCTTTGTTGTTGGCTTCTCAATAAAATAATGTTGGCTAGAAAATGTTGTTTAATCGTACGAGCGGAATCATACTTTATAACAAGTAAATGCTTTTGACAACTTTGTAACTGTCTCTTGTGAGACTGAATAAGTAGTTGAATGATGCACAGCATTCGGACTGAATGCTTTCCTACTACTCGATTGGAAGAAATCGCTGACTCTAAATTCATAAGTTTGTTAATTGGTTGAGGGCATTAGAAATCTAGTAAATGTCTTTCAATCCCGCAGAGTTTCGGGTTTGAAATATTTGAACTATAAGTTTAGCAATGTCTTTTATGTCAACAAAATTGGACTCAATTAACTCGATTAAAGGTGTAATACCACCAAATCATAGTACGTCACGAAAAAGGGTCGAACGAAAATATTCCCTTGATTTTGACTGTTGTAGGACATTAACCCTGCATTTTATTGACATATATCATATATCTTGGGTGTTTAAATGCACCATTCTTTTTTTATTTGCTGTTTCTATAAAATATTTTGGAAACTTCAGGTGACATGGTTACTTAGGCTTGTTAACAGGAAAAAAAGGGGTGAAATTTGATTGGTTTACTTCCGGTAATGGTTATCATATTATATGCAATGAAATGTTATGTTACATTTTCACAGTAGTAATGGACAGGATAAAACTTTACGCAGGCCAAACATTTCTTTATTTGAAATGAAGATAAATTCTGCACATTTTTTTGAAAGTGCCAATTTAACAAAGACTAATAGGGGAACATCAATGGTGGTATTATTCCTTAAGCAATTGAAAATCCATTAAAGTCATTCCCCGTATTAGTGGTACACGTATGCTATCATTTTATTCAATTTTGGATACTGTGTTGTTTAATGTACAGCTTTTTATTGCTTTCATTCGTTTGAATATCATTTTTTTTTGCACTTTATTCTTACAATCTAGTGATCATTATCACTAAAAACCACTCGGAAGTTGTGAACAATTCATTATAACTAAACGATAAATTTACTCGCCGTAAAAATTTTTTTGTGAAAAGAGCGAAAAGAGCACTGGTTTAGGATATTAAGCGTAAGATCTGATTCCAAAATGCATGTGAGGTCTTTGAAAGCACCCTTTTAGAAGCTTTACCATCTAAAACATCTTCTTTGACCTAATGTACTTAATGCTTAATTTTTGGGAGACCTACCCATCCACCCATAGAAAAGTATAATTATGCAGTTACCTTTAGAGGCTCCATATATTTTCCCAGGTAGAGCCCCAAGTAAATGTTAAATCATTGGTTCACAACTGCTTCACATTAAACGAATTTGTTGATTGTATATTTTAATGGAAAACTTGATTCAGTAACGGGTTCAATGGCAAAACTAATTGTTGAAAAAAAAATATTCAAATCAAATCAATGACCCACGTAGTTTTTCAATTTTGTTAATATACGTCATTTTCAATAATGTAGTAAAACATTTCTATATTGTCAGATTCCACTGATTACACTTATGATTTTTAATTCTTCAATGTGTTTTCTCATCATAAACTTATTGTCGCACGAATGAAAAATGTGGGGAAAAAAACACAGAAGAGACAGCAAGACAAGAATACAAAAAAAAAAACAGAATAAAAAAAAATGGAATATGCAAGAACATACACTAAACAGTGAGGACTGGTAATGAAGAAAAATATATATTGCAGAAGGACATTTGCACATTTTTTCTTGTTTGTATTATATTTAAATCTGTCCATTCGTTATCATAAATCGGCCACACAAGATATTTTCACAATTATTTTGCTTATAAGGAGCAAATTCATCAATGTTAGCCGACTATTTTTGAAGACACCAAAGACGGATCATATTAATTTTCCTAGTGAACCATCGACACGTTGCACTTTTTCTTACATTGATGTGTGTATTTTAATGGCACCGGATCTACGTAAACTAAAATCCGCCACTCGGAAAAGAACATGTGACTAGCAGGCCAAGAAAATGTTTTTTATCCGACAATCAGATATCAGTTGATGTACGTCTTGTAAGATTTCATACGACAGCATCATAAACAGTACAAGAAAACAAGATTTTGTGCAATTCCTAGAAAAATAACTTTACAGAATTTCAATGCAGAAAAATAAGAAAAAACTATAAAAAAAAAATGCTCGACATTGACATATAAACATTGACAGATTGACATAGACATATCAACGTAGGACATGACAATATCCTTAATTTGTTTACAGGAAAGATTCAATAAGAAATGCATCCGTTTAATATGATAAATAAATAATTATTTCTGGACAAATGTTTTTGATTGAGTTTTGTAAACCGGTTACACTAAACAATGACTGTATCCTGTCAGTATGAAATCGGAACTTTAAAAACCGCAAAAATATAACCTAGTTAAAATGATTACATGGGGTTAGTACCTGAATATAAGTTACATACTCGTGGCGAATAATGAATAAGGAATCGTACGATGTATGATTTGTCTACATGTTAACGGATCTATTACGATTTAAAGATAGAAACTTGCCGCCCCAAGTTTGGGTCGGCAATTTCCATGTTTTCGATATAGACTCCGCTCTGACGTCCCATGACCTAAGCCAGTCCTACAAAGGCCTTCAGACAATCTCGGACTATTTAAGTATATAATAAAAGGATCCTAACCTTACATCTTTATATCAGATGTGTAATTTTAGCCCTCGAGCCTACGGCTGTTGGGATGATACAATGACCTAGAGCTAATAATACACCTGATGCGATAATCTGATATTATCAATAAATGGCGATGTAAGTTATACATCAACGATACAGCAAATTAAAACAATTTATCGCACCGCGGGTAAATTATTACGTTGTGATTGGTTTAACGCCGTCACGTGGTGACCCCCCTATGGATTCGTAGGGGGTTAGTAGATTTCATAGTGGGTTCATGACGTCACGGCTACTGTTAATGGTGACGTCATCTATTGATGTTTTTTGTTTTTCATTGTTTATTTTTCGCGTGCGATAAATTCGTTATAGGGTTCACTACTGACCCCCTTTGAACAGACCATAGAGGGTGAATAAAATCCATAGGGGATTCGGCCTTCGGCCTCACCTCCTATGGATTTTACTAACCCTCTATGGATCCGTAGGGGGTCAGTAGCGAACCATATAACTAATACTATTAGAATATACCATACGGTATGGGTTTGCTCATCCTTAGATACCAGACGACGACATGTAGCTGTTACATCCTCGTTCTTTGTTCTACGTTCTACAGTGGATAGTTGTATCATTGGCGACCACACCACATTTCATTATTTTATATTGGAAGACACGATCTTTTGCCTTGCCCTTTTTTTAACACCAATATGATTTCTTTCAATTGCTTGTAACATTAACTTCAACAAGTCCAAGCTCCTTGTGAAGTATAAATTTAATTTAAAATTCTATTGTAATAATAAATGATAAAGTATCAATCTAATAAATATCGTTTTACATTAACAATGAATTTAACTTCTTCCAACTTTCTAGTATATCCTTGCCTTTATAACGAAACGCTAATAATGATAAATAGTAATGATAATAATAAATAAAACAGTTGAGCCTTATTACATACGTGCTCTTTACTGCGGAATTTTGTTTTCACTGACTTTCTTAATTCCTTGTCTGTGTTCTACTCTTCTTTCATTCTCTATCTTTGTCAAAATTCTTTTCGGCGTTGTTTTTTTTTATCGTGTTTGTGATACGGTTTAATGGCGATTTCTTATAGCTTGCAGTAGAGATAGAACATATTCTATTATGTATCATAAAATAGAGAATGGAAATGGGGAATGTGTCAAAGAGACAACAACCCGACCAAAGAGCAGAAAACAGCCGAAGGCCACCAATGGGTCTTCAACACAGCGAGAAAATCCCGACCCGGAGGCGGGCTTCAGCTGGCCCAAAAATGTCACACTAAACTCCGAAACATATCAATGAACTAAAATTAAAAAAAACATACAAGACTAACAAAGACAAGAGGCTCTTGACTTGGAACAGGCGCAAAAATGCGGCGGGGTTAAACATGTTTTGTGAGATCTAATTTGCATATTCATTACTTAAAAGCTACAATAATCCATATGATGCGTCTTTCTAATTCTTATATATAAATCAAGATGTTAAAACAGCAACTCAACACGACTACTAAACCAAAACGGACATCCACAGGTCAATATGCAATGATGGAATAATGTACATGCAATGATGGAATATGTACATGCAATGATGGAATAATGTACATGCAATGATAGAATATTGTACATGCAATGATTGAATATGTACATGCAATGATGGAACCATGTACATGCATTGATGGAATATTGTACACGTTATGATGGAATAATGTACAAGCAATGATGGAATAATGTACATGCAATGATGGAATATGTACATGCAAAGATGGAATAATGTACATGCAATGATAGAATTGTACATGCAATGATTGAATATGTACATGCAATGATGGAACCATGTACATGCAATGATCGATGGAATATGTACATGCAATGATGGAATATGTACATGTAATGATGGAATAATGTACATGCAATGATAGAATATTGTACATGCAATGATTGAATATGTACATGCAATGATGGAACCATGTACATGCAATGATCGATGGAATATGTACATGCAATGATGGAATATGTACATGCAATGATGGAATATGTACATGCAATGATGGTACAGTATACATGCAATGATGGAATAATGTACATGTAATTATGGAATATTGTACATGCAAGGATGGAATATGTACATGCAAAGATGGAATAATGTACATGCAATAATGGAATAATGTACATGCAAGGATGGAATAATGTACATGCAATAATGGAATAATGTACATGCAATGATGGAATAATGTACATGCAAAGATGGAATTATGTAAATGCAATAGCAGCTACACTATAGTTTGTCAAACTATAAAACATTCAGTTTTAAGCGGTCATTGAACCATGAAACTATGAACAATTGATTAAAGCAACTTTCTGTGTTTTAGTAGATTATTATTTTGTTAGCATTTGCTAAAACATCATATTTATTATCAAAATAGATTTAATAAACATTCTTAAATAACTTCTCTTCATTTTTTTTTTCCTTAACACATTCATTGACGTACCTTTGTTCAAATGAAATCAACTGACATATTTACCGAATTAGGTGTGTCTCTTTACTGCTCTATTTTTATTTAATCCGGAAAAGTATATATCCGTAACGGGTGAATCAGGGCTGCCGTGTACTATAAAATCATAAACATCTGGTTGTGCGACCAGTACGTTCCAACATCTTGCTGCTTTCAACAAGGTAATTTCAAAAAGTTCATACTCTACACTTAAGCAAAATCTTACATTGATTATGATAATTGTTCATACGCATTTGTGTAAAGCGAGGTTCTTTCAAACTTTCGGTGAAAACCATATTTTGATCAATAGCTGAGGTCCTAACATTTTTGCATGACCTTAATTAAACTTGTTGAAGTATATACATATATTTCAAGTTCAAAAGTTTATTTTGAGTCGAATACTTGCATATTCAAACGCAAACTAGAGAGCTTTTAAAATCGACTACATGAAATGCATTGTCATATACAAGCTTTTGTTTCGAAATGAATGAGAAATCGTATTATAATAAAGATCAAGTTCGTTTCAATTCATTCCATTGTATTACTGCATATCTTTTTCTATCCGTTTGATTATATCTGATGCTATTGTGTCTTTGGTTATGGACATAATTTCAACAACACGGGCATGATTTAGATTGCCACTACGTGCTATAAGTTTTGAAATCTTTCAAACACTTAAGTTCAATTGAAAATTTTAATGTTAATCAAGTATTTTACAGATTTACATTCCGTGGTTAAAGACTATTTATTAAACGGCTTTAATATTACTTTTTCCAGGAACTACTGATGCTGACATAGGTCATTTTGACCATAACCAGTGCTATATAAGTAACAAACGGCCAATGATACCAAAGCGTGAAAATAGGTTAAAATAGAGTTAGTAGCAGTTACGTGAAACACCTGAAGCACCCGTTTTCGCGCCGTATTTTATTTTGATCGGAAGTCGGAATCTCATACACAAGTACACGTGACTCTTTATTTTACTATATTTTTTAGGTTCCTTTTTCTTTTGGAAAAAGGAGGTATCCTTTATGAAGTTGTATTTGGAATTTCATTAAGGATCATCCTTGTAGTAAATTTTAAACAGAATTGTTCACAGAAAATACGTTAATTGTTTTGACGACTGGTTTTAAGATCTACATCATTTGGTCTCTCTTTATTTTATTCTAATGCAGTGAAATGCCCTTTATTTTGAAGCCAATGAAATGATGGCTTAGTTCAGGTGGTTCGGTAGCTCTGTGAATCTATCACAACATTTGGTGTTTGGAACTGGTGGGCACCTTTTTCCTGTGACACATTGCACATAAGTAAAACATCATTAGAAAAAAAACTGCGTATAGATATACTGTTTATAATGTCCCATTAAAAGCGGGCGTTTCAAATTCAAATAAAATGATATATTTGAAAACATTTGAATTAAGTTGGCATGGAAACGGGTACGGAATGATGTATTGGTATTATTTAAAATCTTATTTTAATTATTTTGTTCTTAATATATTGCGATATGTCAATATCATTGTTATGTAGACATCATTGTTCAGAATTATTTTTTTTAAACCTACGGTAGATAGATTTAGTTTTCTTTTATTTCAGATAAAATGATGTGGATCGTCAAAGTTGTAGCGTGTCTGATTGTCTGCAAAGCTGTACTCGGTGCCTTTCCTTGGAAGAAAATTAACGGTCGTTGTTACCATTACAGTGAAGACAAGCAAAATTGGTTTACTGCCGAGGTATGTCCAATATAATTAAAGAAAAAGTCTCTTCGAAATAAATACAAGGTTGAAAAGCAAAGTTCCCGTTACTCATTATTTACTTTTCTCTGTAATTATATGCTTACAGTTGCATATTTTTTGTGTCTTTTCATTGGTGTTGGCGTTGTCTGTTTTGCTGATTTACGCTTTAATTTATCGTTTCTTTAGCTTAAAGAAATTACCAAACAACAGTCATTATATACAAAAGGACACACAAATACAAAAATAAAACAAAAACAAATAATTTAAGCAAATACTTTGCTTTCAATAAAAAAAACTTAACCAGTTCAATAAAGTACTGTAAAGACACATATACTTTTTTTTTTATCATTTCATTTTAGAGAAAATGTCGAGAAATTGGTGGTTATCTTGCCAAAATTGAGGACGCCGCAGAAAATACAATTCTGTATGATAATAGACCACTAGGTAATACAATTCTGTATGATAATAGACTACAAGGTAATACAATTCTGTATGATAATAGACCACTAGGTAATATAATTCTGTATGATAATAGACCACTAGGTAATACAATTCTGTATGATAATTGACCACTAGGTAATACAATTCTGTATGATGATGGACCACAAGGTAATACAATTCTGTATGATGATGGACCACAAGGTAATACAGAATACAGAGTAGTTTGGTGCACATTTATTTTGATCTTATTTTCATTTAGCTGCGGTACCGTATCTCTTATGGTCCTAATGATATTTTTTTACAATTTGCGGACGTTCCGCAGCTAATTTGTATTTATTTGTATAAGTTTTCTACTTCGAAATTCTTTCATTATAAAAATTTTCCTTTTGTTGTTTAAGAAAACTTGATGATTAAAGTAATTATAGGGATAGACGAGCACAAGCATTTTTTGATTAACAACCTGTCTTTAGCTTGTGCCTTTTTTAACGAATATGTGACTACACTAAAGTCGGGAATTTTCCGACAATTCAATACGGCAAAAGCTGATTGACATCGTATTTTGGGACCACAAGACAGTTATTTAAGACTTTCACCTCATTCTCTCTCTCTTATATTTTATTGGTTTTAATGCAGTTTTTTTGCAAAATGTTCAGATCTATAGGTTGTTGATGAAACTGATGCATTCTTATGCAATTAGTATACTAAATTCCTATTTTTTCGATCCAATTTCGATCCTTAAGCTGTGGTCACACCTTACCGGATAGCTTGAACGGACGGCGAACGGATGAAAAAAAGTTTTCCGTTGACAAACTTTTTATCCGTGGGGAGTCCGTTGGTGTACTGACCAAATAAAACAGACGCGTAACGAATGCCTAACGGACACACACAGGATATGCAACGTACGAGAAACGGAAACGTACCGGACAGAACGGATGTCGAACGTTCATCCAACGGACGAGTACCGCATAAAACGGACACCTAACGGAAGCGTACCGGATAAAACGGATGAACAAGTTAAGCGTAAAATTAAAGGCGGCAATAATAATACATGTAAATCACATACACGTGACCATGATCTTGTCCACCATCTCCTTTGTCTTCTCCTTCTTCTCCTTTCGACAGCTAGTAGATTTATATTTGCAACATTTAAGTTCAGTCTGGCCTGAATAAGAGCTGCTTGATAGTGAAGACGTGCTCTTACTCCAAGATCCATCATAAACATTCATGACACTCAAGAAATCTGACAAAACAATAATTGGCATTTCTGACGCGAAATTTTCAATTGGCATTTATCCGTTTTACATTCGTTACGTATCCGTTTTATCCGTTATCCTTCCGTTCATGTCCGTTTCACATCCGTTCATCATACGTTTTATCCGTTATACGTCCGGTAGAAGTCCGTTGGTGAATTGGTCTACCGGACCTCCAACGGATGTATAACGGACAAGTAACGGATACAAAACGGAAACGGAACAGACGAGTACCGTAAAAAAAACGTTCAACGGACACTTCACCCGTTGGACGTCCGTTCAAAGTTTTGAACATGCTCAAAATTTTCAACCGGACAGAACGGACGTCAACGGATAAAACGTACATGAAACGGATATGGACGGACGTCTAACGGATAAGAACGGACGTCTAACGGACATGAACGGATTGAAAAAAAAGTTATCCGTTCGGCGTCCGTTCATGCTATCCGGTAAGGTGTAACCGGGGTTTTAAGTCCTCTTGATTTTAATATTCCATACTCTTAGCGAAAAAGCAAAAAAGTAAAAGGGCCCATTGTGAAATTTCTCTTACTGTGTTATTCATTACCAATGTTTCCCATTGAACTGCTTTTAAATCTTTTAGTTATGTGTTGTCTCTTTTGGCTTATGAAATAATTTGGACAGGCAGGGTTTTAAATGGAGAATTTGGTGATTTAAACAAATATTTATTATAGATTTTTTCCATGTACAATTGTTTAAAAGTATGCATTTAGAAAATTACTGTATCCATTTGAAATTATGTTCATTTTGAATTTTCTTAAATTTAACTGAAATAATCGATGAATATTGCTGATGAAACTTTATTCTTCTTATCTTGGATTCTATGATGAAATTGATGATTGGTCGTGTTTTTTTGAAAATATTTTTATCCAATTAGACATTTGTCCTTTGACCACCTTTTTGAAATTTATACGATTTCTGATGACTTTTAGTATCTCCTAAAGGTTATTATTCTGATATAACTAGTTTAATATTATGTTATGTTTCTTTTGATTATGTTTAATCATATAGCTGAATTATTTTTACTTAGGCGTTAAGCAACAATATTTTGATGAATGATTGATGTTTTTCTACAGGCATAAATGGTGGTCATTTATGGATAGGCCTGTCAGATTTAGACGAAGGACAGTTTAGATGGAGCATTGATCAAGAATTAGCTACAAATGTTAACTGGGTTTCTTGGCATAAAGCCAGCGATCCAGGTCATAACTGTGTAGCTATGTATTACATAGGACCAAGTTGGCTTGATTGGCGCTGTTCATCGCCATTTGGTTACGTTTGTGAGACCGATTTCTGTAAGTTTTTTTAAAATAAGCTTCGCAAATAATTTGAATAGTCACAGTATGGCATGATAGACTCCATAAGCTTTAAACAAAATGAATTATTTTATAATTACTTTTCATGTAATAAAATGCTGTTTTAACATTGTAAGGCTGCATTTAAGACGAAAACAGTATGTATTCATCTTAAACAGAACCAAATCTGACAAAACTGAATATGAAACTAAGATCATTAAATAAATGCGAAATTGAACGTTATTTTCCGAAATGGTTTAATTAAACTCCAAGAAATTTTCTGAATAGAAATGAAAAATCACTTTAAATAAAAAAAATACCTGAATATTGAGAGTCTGCCACTGTCACGTATGACGTATCACCAAAACCATACTTATTTTCATTCCATACAATCATTATCTAGTATTAGTAAATTGCAAAGAAGAACGCACATAGTTCACAATTGTTATTTTCAGACGACAAAATGTCCAAAATTCTAAATGAATGATAATAACTTTATTTTGTCCATCAACACAATATGTTTCTCTCTCCAAATAGTCATTTAGATATTCCATTTCTTGTTACATTAACCCAAAGGTGACTAGGGAATAGGAATATGGTCACTCTTGGTTTTCTTCCGACAGTAAAACACTTACCAAAGGGGCGTCCGTTTGGTGATGTGAAATGTATGAATACGCAGTTAAGTCCGGTCAGAATGGGGATTTTACATCCGATGCCTCGCGAAGTGAGATTGCAACGCTCTCTAACCCCTTGCAACAACTCTTTGAGGGGTCCGTAGGTTGTCTGCTGCAAGACTAAATTTCTGTATATATCCAATATACCCTCGTTTTCAAGATGCATTCCAAATTTCTCGCCCGATCGACCACATATTAAAGGACCTACCTATTATATTTATTGCTAATTGTTTTTGTCCTGAACATGCATGACATATTTGCCACTTGACGTTAAGCAAACAACAATCAACCAATCAGTTTTGTAACATTTAACATTGTATCCTGACAATAACCCATTCAGCCAAAGTGACCGCGGATCATAGGAATCATCGACTATAAACATCTGTCGTCAATGAAGATTTCATTATTCAAATGTTAGTTTCGTTTCTGACGCAAATGGGGTTTGTCATGGAAATCGTTCTTTGACGCACTGAACCGTTGCCGGATAGGAGTATGGTAATATTAGAGTTTAGTGTCGGGCTAGTGTGCATATATCAAAAGGGTAGAATAAAGAAGTTGGAAGTTTGTAAATAAAGTATCCGTATTAACTACTGTAAACCGTTTGGATTTGTTGCTGTTTTTAAGTTCAATTTATTCTATTTACAGGTTTTTGAAGACGGAACAGTTATGCTGGAAATTAGGAACTTCTATTAAAAGATATTCAATTATCCCAAAATGTCTTTAAAATCTTACCTCATTTTCCAAACATTATTCTTTTTCTGTATCTAAAATGTGTCAAAAGGCCTGAGTACCTGAAGCCCAAGCTCTTCATCCCAAACATCTGACAAAGTAATCCACCGCTCTGATAACTGAGTTAAAAAAGTATAACAAAAATATCGAACTCCAAGGCAAACTCTAAAAGGGGAAAGTCCACAAAACTGACAATTCAAACGTTATCAACAAACGGAACAAGTGAAAAAAACAACTGTCTTATTCCTGACTTGGTACATGAGTAGTTCACTTGCGCAGCTTATGCTGTGTGGTTTGAAATCTACAAAAGGTCAAGGGAAGCACCGCTTTACAATTGAATAATTCTACAGCACGAATCATATTTTTTTATGCATTTACTGTTTGTAAAGCCAATAACGGGACATAAAAACATGATTTAGCGTACGTTATTTTCAGAATGAAATGTATTAGTTGTTTTGTCTATCTGATTTAAAGTATAATGTTGTCTACATGTTTAATCTAATAGGATAAGGAAAACGACAAAAGTTTTACCTATATAATAATGATAACAAATAACGTTAAACTAACTTTACAATCGCCAAACCAAAACAAACATCTTCAACAAAAATCAATATCAAATTAAGTAAAACAAACAAGTAATTAGATATAAGTAACAACATTTCACTACCAATACAACAGCTGGTATCAATAGACAATCGCAAATGCAATAAACTCCAAGGAAGTATCAAAATTCTAAAAACACTGTAAAAATACATGAAAACATGAGGACATATATAGATGTAAATATATTGTCATAATACAAACAGGATGTTTTCTCCTAAAGGTGGCGGACTGGAAGTTATTTTATTGTACGCCAAAACTATGAAATATCCAAACTGAAATATTGGATTTATTCTAATAATTCCTTGCAAAATATCAGAAATGAAATGATCCCTTACAAGGAGTTTTTTTCTTGATATTGTTATAGATGGGTATTACTAATAATGATAAAGAAACAAACACATTTAGTATTTCAAAATTTATTTGGATCAATATCTGTAAACCTGAAAAATAAGAGTCTTAACTGATGTTTATGCAATAAGAGAACTTGGGCAAACTTAAATTATGGGGATCAAATTGAATATTTTCATAAATTGTGCCGTTTTTAACAGTTATCATGACATATAAAGTTCTGATAGCAGTAAAGTTCAAGTGTCAGTGAGCATGGACTTCAATCACGATATTTTACGAGTCCACAGTAATTTTACTCTCTCAGAAGGTAGGGGTTTATAAAACATGTTTGTGGTTATCTATTCATTCATTCTGAAAGTCATTTGACACATCTTTGGGCTAGATTTACCAATAAATTACATCGTGGCAAGTGCTTATAAAAATAAGATGTGATATGATTGCCAATGAGACAACTCTCAACAAGAGATCAAATGACACACACATTAACAACTATAGGTCACCGTACGGCCTTCAACAATGAGTAAAACCATACCGCATAGTCAGCTATAAAAGGCTTGTTTATATACTCGAAGTCGTCATTCCAATGATTGGTCACTTCCGGGAAACGATACTTGCTCTTTAAAGTGATAATAATACATGAAGTGTTATTGAGATATGATCAAATTACTTGCTGGCCTTCCCTTTATATGTTTAGGATACTAAATAATATGATACAGTTACGATAATTACGTTTTTGTCAAGCGGCGATAGGGAACTATTTTCTGTTTTCAATGAATTACGTCATATAGAAACCTAGGTGATTAGGCTACGAGTGTGGAATTTTGCTGTTTATAATAAATTTGTCACTTTTCTCTGCAAAAAAGGGGAAACTTTCGCAGATTTATGGATTTATAACTTCATGTTGTGTCATGAGCCAGAGTTTTCGGTAGCATTTCTAAGTTATAGTAGATTTTCAGTTCTTCGAGTCGCGCATGTATCTCACCGTCAAATATAAATGCAAGGTCGCAATAGCAATTCCGCATATCCTATCTGGCTGTCAAGCTAAACAGAACGTCTTAAATAAACAACCATTGAGTCAACAAATCTAACTAGGTACAGCATGCATTTCGATACAAAGCTATTTCACCTTTAAAAGCTATACGATGCCATTTCAAGTTCTTCTATTTTAAGCTACTCATTTTAATCTTCTGAACATTGAACCAAAACCTTACTCAAAGACTTTCAGGAACTAAAAACAATATTTCACAAATATTCCCGCTTACGAAGGTCTTCAACATGAAGTTGATTCATGTAAGACAAGATACGGAACCAGTTCCATGTTTACAATTTCTGATAGTAGTTTTCGGCAATTATGACACTTTTTAAAGATATATAGATACGACAACCTTATATATACGTAATTCCATGAAATAAGTATATTTAATTTTCTCATTATTGTATTTTATTTGGATTGATATGATAAAGTCTTGCAAATATCTATAAGCATCTTACTCTTTTTAAATTATTACTAACTATGTTATTGCTGCTATATGAGTTATTTATTGAGATAAATACATACTGGATTATGGCATATATGAGTATGTTGGAGTCAAACAACTACACTTAAAACAAGACTATCTAGAGGAACACTATCGATAATCAACACTGAATTAAAAGTACACACGTCTGATCTGTAATTGTACGGATTGTGTCCTACTCCCGATTGTGACATTTTTACTGAGTGTGAATTCGCATGGCGGGTAATGGATGCAAAACAAGAGACGTGGCACTCTTCCTACACAGGGCATCAAATTTAACGCCCCTGTTCCATCTGGACGTGACTGCGTATTTATACATACCAAACAGCCAATCAAACGCCCTTCTTTAGAAGAAAATTATTCCGCCTCTGAAAAATTAAAATTTTGGATTTTTTTTTTTTTAAATTAAAAAATTAAATTTTCGTTCGCTCGTTCTCTTTTTGATAGTAGGAGTTCAAGACCTTGCTGAAATCTTGAAAGTCATTTTTATGATGCTAAAAAATCACACAATGTCACACAAATATGCATTTATAGTTGAATAGCGTCTGATATATGAATGGAACGGAACTCTTGTGAACAGTCAACCATTCAAACATCTGATATACAAAAATGATGCGTTTTATGTTATTTTTTTATGGGAATTTGAAAAAATGATGAATGATATTTAGTATAGTGGAACTCTGAATTTTTAAGCATACAAAATTGACCTTCATACTTAAATGTATATTTGCAAATAACTGAAGCAATGGGTAGATTCCGATATGAACACGATTAAAGCTTACTAGATATCAATTTTGAAAGTGATTAAATTCTCATAGGCACAAATTTGGAATTGAGACCTGTAAGTCCAATAAGTTTATGCAGTTCATTTACTTAACATAGGATGATCGAAATTATCGACCATCATTGTTAATTACATGACTAAGTCAAACTCATTTGACGTGTTTTTAGGTAATATTTTGCTTTAGAAGATATATATATTCGACTCGTTTTATTCTATATGTAAAAATTGTGTCGAAAACAACATTTAAATGAACTTACTTTCACAGTTGTTATCCATTCGTTTGAGCATTTGATTTAGCCATTTGATTAGGGACTTTCCTTTTTGAAATTTCCTCGGAGTTCAGTATTTTTGTGATTTTACTATTTTCACTCGCACGACGGACTTTTTTGAATTTTTGAAGTGTAAATTTGGACCCGGATGTTGGTTTTAAGAAACAAATCTTTTTTTCTTGACGAACTTTTACAACACCCGGGGAATCAGAAGGACGAGATATCGATTTGGCGTGCCCTAAATTGGTCCTACCTCTGTCTTTCATTTTCAAAAAATACTTTGACAGTCATGTTACAATATAACTATCATATAGATTATAAAGTTAAAACATTGATATTATACCTGATTTATGATATTATATGATGAAAAATAATGGAAAAATCTAATCGTAATATAAAATATATAGCACTGGAGAGAAAGGAAGAACATCGGGATAGTATATTCATTATTAAGATATACCAAAGCAATAACACATACATGACACAGTGCCGAAAAAACCTCTGGAAAAGTGTTTGTTTTACGATAAGTAAAAACAAATTCATTGTATCCTCTAAATGGTTTTAGCTGGTTCTGTTGAACTCTTTTAGGTTTACTTTTACAAATTGTAACTTGGATGGCACTCATACCACATCATCTTATATCTATTTGTATGTCAATTATGGTTTGATTTTAGTATGTAAAAATGGTTTAGGTGGTTCTGTTGAATTCCCCTAGTCCTTGTATGTCTGTAGTGGTTAGCTTGTTTTATTGAACTCCTCTAGTCTTTGTATGTCAATTATGGTTGATTTGTGTGTTTCAAAATGATCTGCCTGGATGTATAACTAATCTTAATTTACAAAAATATAATTATGGGTCTTGCTGAAAGTGTGTTTTGTTTTAAGAAACAAGAGCTGCATTTATAATTTGTTTAAAGAAGTTGTCAACCAAATAGCCCTCAGACGGCTAATCAATTTCTAGGCCATAGTTCAAAATTATTTCATATTTTTATGGATGTGGCTTAAAGATTGTTTTTAACTTATAATATATATAGGAAGATGTGGTATGAGTGCCATTGAGACAACTCTCCATCCAATAAGCATGGTTAAGGGGTTGCTTAAAACTTGAATGGGGCTCAGCGATTCATATACTTTGTTGAGAAATAGTTTCAAACTTATGTAAGCATGGTTTAGGAAATGTTGCAAACATTTATTTGCCTGGATTGGGCGGGGTTCTTCCAAAGTTTTATGAGAATAATTTAGGAATTGGATCAAACTTATATAGCCATTGGTAAGGGATTGTTCCAAAGTTTTATCGGCATGGTTTTAAAATTGTTTTAACATTGAATGTTGTTTAGCGATTGTTTTACAAATTGTATGTACCTGGTTAAGGAATAGTTTCAAACTTCAATGGGAACGGTTTCGGAAATGTTCCCAAATTTTATGGGAATGGCTTTTAATAGGGATTGTTTCACACTTTCATGGGAAT